AAAAATAGCTGGTACGAACTGTGTGATACCTAATGACTAACCATAAATGAGACTCATCGTTGTAGGCTAAACCATGGACAATATGCTCCCTTATTCTCTTGTGAGATCTTCAGTCATACAAGTGAAGTACTTGATTCCCAAACTGAATTGTTTGAAACTGGCTTCTCTACTTTCGCTTATCTGTAACAAATGAGAAAAATAGATGGAATTACAAACGAAACAAACAAGTTTGAATATGCAAATTAACAAATTGGTAGCTAAAATAATTTCGAAAATGATTTAAAGGTGTTACTGAAAAGCTTTGTGCGACTTAAGAACTACGGAAGTTCACGTATATTTATTCGGATAAAATCTGATTAGAGCGCTTCTCAGGAGTACTGTAAGTCGCTTTGGGTCATCTTAGTATTGTTATATAGTGTAGTATAATGCATCTTTTGAAAGATAGGGATTTCTTCGAATGACAAGTGAAAATGAAGCTTCAGAGACAAGAAAGCAAAACGAGGAGAGATGAAGAAATTGGCTAGATTTACACACTTGTAAAACTTCTGAATTTCGAACTTTGAAAGCTGATCACTTTTGTCAACTGTCCCATGGTTTCCTTTGATGAGAAGTACCATAGATGGTAATATCCAATATCGATTTATTGAAACAAAGTGTGTGAATGCTGGGTATTCATTATCTTCAGCCTGAACGAGCAATTTACTTCGTTACAAACAGAAACCCTTAGATACTTCAGATCTTCGTGTCACTATAATTTTAGAGTAATCCTGATGAATGCTTTCGTCGATCGAATAAATGAAGATTCAGGCTCTTTCTAACATTTACGCGAGGATATTCAACCTTTCTGAATAAATTGTCATCTCATGGCCTTTTCCGATTGAAGGCTTCGTCATGGGTTCGGGCGCCAAATTCGAAATATTACAAATGACTGTTGTCGTTCACTGTCCTTCAAAATAGATGGTAAATCTTATTTCATAGATTGCGTACCAACTGCCAATCCGCTCATGACTAAGTTCAGACGAACAGAAAATTTTTAAATGACACCAGATAGTTCAAAAGAGAAGTAGGATTTCTTTCCCACAATGAGTCAGACTCATGAATAGTACTCTGATCCAATGTATGAAGCTGATCTGCTCCTAACAGAACAGTTTTTCACATCTCACATACAACCAGCTGACTTCTGTGTGCATATCTTGATGAATTTTAATTTTTTTCATCAGATAACACCGGAAACGGTCATTCTGTCCAATCGTTTGTATGTGCCATTTTGAATCCAATTGACGTCGTTTCTAATTCTGACAATATATTTCCAGGGCCACACGCACACATATGGCTGGGGTTGTGTGTTTGCCTTGTCATCCATTCATCCATCTTTGCAGATATTCTCAATCTCTTTTTTTTAGAGTTCAGTTTTTATGTTGAAAAAAAAGATTTCTTTTCTCAACATTTGATTTGAATTCTAACCATCCTTTGATCTTCTATTTAGTCTTTGTGTTCCTCACCTTCCATCACAGCTTCAGAATAAAAAAAACAGCGACTTCCTTCTCTTCGAATTTCCTCTTAGTACGGACGGCTTGTCCTTTGAACTATCTTCACAAACATTCCTATTATGAAAAAAATTATTTTTTTCCGCATAAGCAAAAAAATCTCCTGAGCTCATGAACAACCGGTCTATGCAAATGTGAAATGAAAAATGAAAATGTGTTTTTCGATTCTTCACGTGGTCATTTCGAATTATGCTAATTTCATAAAGCGTTCTTCCATTTGGTATCATGAATAGGATATTTCATTATAAATTTATTGGAAAATAATTACTCGTTTCTGAAAGTTTTTTTGAGGGTCTCATTATGTCTTGTACTCAAATATATTTTGGCTATATCTAAAGGTTATTCGAGCTAAGAGGTATTGTACAATTGCCAATTCAGTCAGTCAGCAGATGTCTTCTACAGCTAGCCTCTGAATTTTCAAATTGAAAAAGATTCAGAGCTGAAATATATAAATCTGTAATAAGGCAATTTTAGAGAGCCCTCACATATAATTACATACTCCAGATACATCACATTTTGTGAAGAGAAATGGAGGTTTACCTAAGTTGGGTTCGTAAAAATGCAATGCTTAGAGAGAGAGAGAGAGAGAGAGAGAGAAAGAGAGAGAGAGAGAAAGAGAGCAAAAGAGGAAAAAGAGATAGTTGAAAGGCGGAGCTTCTTTGGGTTGTCTGTCTGTAGAAAATGGCGCCAAAGGTTGCGCTTAAAAGAACCATAGCTTCATTCATCCATTCTTTCGTCGACTTACTCAGTTCAGACTCTGCCATATTCCTACAGCTCTTTAATAATTGAGCCTCTAATAGGTTGATTAATACCCGTCCTCGTTGCAATCTTCGTCCCTTTCCCTCCTAACTAACTGACTCTACTTGTATTATGACATCTGCGGTCATGAATTCATGTCTTGGCTATTCATTTTTCAGCGTTTTTTTTTGTAAGTTCACAATCAGGTAATTCCGTGTGCGACCTTGGTTGTTATCGTTTTGACATCTGTTCTTATAAGAATTTTGATGCTTAATATGCAGATTCCTGATGAAAATGAACAGTTATTCAGTTTTCGATACTCTTTTGAATGCTGCCTTCTGAGTAAATAGGAGATAACCTCTTAGTTTGTTCCAACTAGATTAAAATCTTCAGAGGAGAACTCTCTTGTCGTTTTTCAGTTGACTTGCATCCTTCTCTTTTACTTTCATTTCCTTTTAAGGCCTTTTTTTGTCTAGCTGGAAAAATGGTCAGTTGTCGCTGTTTGCATCCGATCGTTAAAAGAAAAAACGGCCATCTGCCGATGGGATGAACGATTTCAAATTCACAGAATTCAAAGAGCTATGACCGTAATGTATTACTGCTGAAAAGTCGTGAGTGAACGTCTTCATTTTCTCATTCATCTACATCTGCTTAAAGTACAAAAATATTGGATGGGAAGTAATAGAAGCATGTCGATTCCTTCCGATCGCGTCAAAAATTCGAGTCGAGACTTCATTAATGCTCTCGAATCGTTTTTTTGATGTCATTGTAAGAAATCGAAACATTCAAAACCAAGAATGGAAAGAAGAGAATACTTGCTATCAATACTGATACATTGTGGAAATATGAAGAGACACATCAATTACCGGTTCACGTAAGGAACAAATACAAATGCGGCTATTGAATTATTAAAAACAAAATGCGTCTGCTGCCTTCCATGTCTTCACATGTGTATATAGAGAGCATCCCTTTTACCTGAGAAGGCATGTTCAATCAAGAAGTATTCAATTGTACTAAATCAATCGGACGCAACCTTATACATCGTTACATTTCTTGTGAGACGATTTCTCTTTCCCTGTTCTCACATGTTCTTATCTTACTTTTTAGTTTTGTTCCAGCATAGTTCAATCGATTAGTTCAAGTAAGCTTGGGCTTGTTTTCTTTTCAAAAAAAAAATTAAAATTCGAAAAAGAAGCTTTGTTGACTAACATATGACCACATAGTGCATTAGAAGCCATAAAAGCATGGAATGTTTGTCGTTCTCTCTTACTCACAAAAACCATTTTTTGACGCCATCTTATCTTCAATGAAATTGGTGATTGATGATAACATTGTTTATTAATGAAAATAATGAAAAATAGTTGACAGATTTATTGTAAAAGCTTTTCACTTTCTATGTTCAATGCTAAGCACTCTTAGAGGAAGTGTTAGAAACGTTCGTTCAGAATGTTTCTTCTCTCATTCTTCTTCAATATTTTGTCTTTTTCACTTCATTCTATTGCATTTGCATCTAAATTCAATCATATCATGCCATCTTCAAGGCTTCCTAAATTCAGCTTTTCCAACTTTTCACCAAAGCCTCATGTGATATTATGTTATCTTCCCTATTCCTCGCAATCCATCTAGCAACTGTAGTTCATATCAATGCTGTGTCATCATTCCAGTCAAAGTATGTTTATTGAAATATATTATTAATTAATTCAAAAGTGATGCATATCTTTAAGTTTTACAATCCTTCCACGTATCTCACCAGATGATATTATTCAAAACTTAATAAAGACTAGTTATGATCGTCGGATTAGACCTCCCAACATTAATGATAAAGGTATCATAACATGAACTTATAAATATAACAATTCATGTATTTGAGGAGAGAATAAGCCAGTTAATGTAGAAACCAACGCATACATCAGAAGGTTAGATAACACATGTGACCAGTAAACGTTTTCATTTGTAGCTTCTCAAACATTGACTTCGTTAAAATGCAATATGATGTTCAGCTAACTTTCCGACAGGCGTGGCATGACTCTCGATTAGCCTATAATTATAGGTTTTTAGTTTAAACAGAATATTAAAAAAAATGAAAATAACTTTTTTTTCACTAACTCATGATCTCTTTAGAAATGGAAAAATTCCAAAATTCATGATAATTACGAGAGATGATCTTATTTGGAAACCTGATACATTCTTCTTAGTTCGTTCGACATTCGAGTTGTTTTCATTCATTTGTTAATACAATTTAGAATGAGAAAAATGCTTTTCGACACAATATTGATAGCCCGAACATGCTACTTAGAATATATGCGAACGGAAGTGTTCTTTATTCACAAAGGATATCTTTAACGTTGTCATGCCCTATGCTAATGAAGGTATAAGTTCAACCTCACTGATTACTATGTGGAACAAAAAAATGGAAAAACCATTTTGACAATTTTTTTGGTTCATAACGGTTGCTAAGTGAGAGACACATTGAACGTTCTCATATTCTAGAGATATCCGATGGACAAGCAGAGTTGTGACATGGCATTTGCTTCATATGCATATTCAGAGGATGAAATAGGTGTTGTACCCCCTCAGAAACACAGTCCGTAACCATTACAGCTTAGTGTACAACTGGAAGCACAATGATTCAATTCAACTTCATAAAGCGTTGCGTACTTCATTACCTTGTTTCACTTTATATGATTTTGAGACAAGTTTGATATGTGAAAAGAAAGCTTACAAGCTGTACATCTTTCAGATACTTGTACAAGCAAAACTAATACGGGCACGTATTCATGTCTCAAAGTTACATTCAATCTTCATCGCCAGTTTAGGTGAGAGCTTTTTTATTCCTGATTTTATATCCCAAACTTCAGTTATTACATGTTACAAGTGTATATACCTTCTACCTTATTAGTTATTGTTTCTTGGATATCGTTCTGGCTTGAGAGGACTGCTGTGCCTGCTCGAATAACTTTAGGAGTGACATCTCTTCTTACAATGACAACTCAGGTTCGAGAAACAATGGATCTTATGAAACAGAATTAATTGATTCTAGGCTGCCTCTATACAGAACTCACTACCAGCAGTGTCATATGTAAAAGCTATTGATATTTGGCTTGGATCATGTATGTCTTTCATATTTGCTGCTGTTTTAGAGTTTGCTTGGGTGTCTGTAGCTGCTTCGAGTCAGGAGAC